AACATTTGTGTTTAAAACTGTTTTGTGTGACCAGGAGGTAAAATAAATAAATATTAGAAGATGGAGTACATGAGAACTAAACTGTCTGCTCTGCTGAGTTGTTTCCTGTCCGTGATGCGGCGACAGCAGAGTGTGAATGGAATCTGCTGAGAAATGAGGTGTGAGCAAAAACTGTGATGGGTAGATAATAAGAGAGAGACAGCATTTTCAAACTTTTGTGGGATTAGATGTTTAGCAATTCAGTTATTAACAAGATACTACTACTAATAAAATATATATAAGTATTGATATTAAAATATATTAAGGCTTATTTTAGGGTATTTTACGCCCCTATCCAGAGACAGGACAGTGGACAGAGTCAGAATCTGGAGGGAGAGAGAGCAGGAAAGGACATGCAGGAGAGGAACCACAGGCCACAGACACAAACCCACCCGCCCGCCCGCCCGGAGAACCACAGCCTCCACCAGGGCCGGCCCATGGCATAGGCAGTATAGGCAAATGCTAGGGGCGCCATCATCCATATGGGGCGCCGCTGGCGCCCATATGAATGCGGCAGAAAACTTGAAGATAAGAAAAAGAAATAGAAGGAAAAATGTGTTTACATATCATTAAATATTATTTATCTAATATAATTTCCATGCTATCCTTTAATAATGATAGAAAAGAAGCCATGAAAACACAACTATCACATATTTAAAAAGGCTCTATTTTCTTGTCTCCTGCTTGACGCGGCTCATCACAACAAAGCTGCTCGTTACCTGCTCTTTGTGGAGGAGGAGGGCAGGTGACTTATTAGAATTGAGTGACACTGACCATACTTAATATCAATGAATTAACAATTAACAATTAATATCACGTTTTTAAATGACCATAATGTAAACAACAACAAAGCCCTCAGGAGCCCAGGGACGAAAAAGAAGAAGAGGAGAAAAAATGTGAAAAAGACACAGAGGTAACGTGCTGCACGGATCAATTATCTGTTGTAGTTAAGCTAGCTTGTTATGGATGGATGATAGTAACGTCAATGTTTCCTAGCTCCAGTTAACATCAGTTATTTCCACTTTATTAGGTTAAGATTATTCATGTTAAGAAAATAACCACTTTAAGAAATACACTTCTTCTTTTGTTCTAATGTTGTTTGGGACACAAAACCTACTTTTATATTTATTGACATCTTTGTGTACTTCGTTAACTTTCACCCTAGTCGATTAAAATGTTTATTTTCCACCTCCTGTTGTCATTAATAGTTTTAAGCTCTTGCCTTTAGAGTATTGATGTCTAGAGCATAAATGCATTTTGTGCATGAAGCCTCTCTGAATAGATCTGTGTGCATGCTGTAGGTCTGTTAGGAAAATATTTAGGCTCACATGAAAAACTATGCTGAGGTTTCTGTTCTGCTCTGAAGAGGAAATAATATTTTGTGTTCACACTATATTATAAAATGCCCACCGTTTCACAAATGCTCATCTTCTCTCTCCAGATGCAATCAAAATATTTAAATCCATCCCTGGCCGTCTGTGTCCACTTCTGCTCCCTGCACTGTTTGATATGTTTGTTCTATTACACTAGTTATTTGTATTAATTATAAAAATATTAGAGTTATTACCATTTTATTCATGTTTATTTAAAGTATTTTTTATTTTTAAATAAATAATTAATGTTAAATATAAAACTGTATGCCATTTCTTTAAGTGGATGAATATAATATATTAGTGGTCAAACTGTCTACAATTTAAGGGCAACCGCTGAAATCTTTCCTAGGGCACCAAAATGGTTAGGGCCTGCTCTGGCCTCCACACATGCACACCAACAACACCTTTCATTCTAATATCTACTGAAAAACATAAATCATCAACCAGAATGAATAACTATGGGGCACCACCCTCCACCAGGACCAAAAACATGCTAACGGTCAGTTTGGAGGAATGCAGATCAATTATTTTAAGAAAACATCTCAACACAACTCTTCCAGCTCAAATGGTGCATGATCCTTAAAGTTTATAATTTTAGGTTAAAGGAGTCTGCTGGACTTCCTATAAACAGTAACAGTCGTGACAGAAACTTCAATATTTTGTATTGAATTTAAAATGACATCTCCTCTGACTTTCTAAAGTCTGCTCTTTGCCTTGAAGTATAAATGTGGAAGTAAGTTACCTGGCACAGAGAGAAGAAAGACGACAAATCCACTCGCTGCTGCTGTTAAACTCATAGCTGCTCCTCTCATCACATCCATGAGACACACTGGTGTGAGGTCGTCACATTAAACTTTCTTCTTCTTAAAATGAGGATGTGGTCTTTAAGACACTTAAAAAAATGTTATAGTTAACTTGTGTTAAACAGAAAAAAGACCACACTCGCCCTTCCTCTTTTTATGCATAAGTCAGAATAAGAGCAAGCCCTGACAGCTAAAAATATTTTCAGGACCTGGTATTTCAATGATATGTACGTATAATGATTTTAAAATGTGTGCTGTTTACAAATGTTTCATCAAGTAGACTGTGCTGTTTTATAAGTAAAAATAGAACAGGTGTGTGATGTCTGATTTGGGACAATACCTCTGTTGCTGCATTCAGGTGCTGCTCGTGATCCAAGTTTATGAGTTGGGAAGTCGTTCTTCCGACTTCAGTGTGTTCGTGTGATTTCAGTTCAGAAAGTCTGAATGTTGTGACAACAGCACAAAACAGCGTTGATGCTACAAAGAAGAAGATCAGAGAAATGCTAGTTAGTTTAGTTTAGTTTAGAAACAGGGACAGCATAAAAAAAACAACAACATTAGTCTAAGAAGAGAAGAGATGCTTTGTATCAGATTTAGCTAGCTTATTTCCATCTGTTGTCCCTGGGCATTTACTGTTATGAGTTATATTTGAGCTGTATATATGATATATTTTGCCCCCCATGTCATAGAGATTCTGACGTCAAGTCGGGAAGTCGGGCACCTAATTCTTTTCTGAGTTTCCGAGTTGTTGCGACTTGAGCAGGCGTTCATGTGCATTTTACAACTCGAAAACTTGTTTTCCGATGTGTCCGACACCACATGAATGCACCATGTGACCCTACATGACAGGTATTTTGACGTGCACAAAGTCGTCTTATCTTGAGGGTAGATTCCTGGTTATCAATGTGATTGTTTTGAAACATTGGACAGTTATGGGCCTGTGTAATCCTTGTCAGTAATAGAGTGATATATCAGTTTTAAAGTTACATTAATCAACTTACTCCTTATTGTGAAACAGAGCTTTTTAACCCACAACCAGACATTCAGCCTGCATGGAACAACCTGTTGGGACGAACTGGGAAGGAAACAAGTTGAAAAGATTGGACCTGATGTGAAGGCTACAGCTGAGGGAAGAACCGGACTTAAGGGTCTTCAATGTTCATCAGTTAAAAGAGATCACAAAGGAAACTAAAATAATAAGTTTTGTTTTTTTAAAGATTTATTTTTGGGCTTTTTGTGCCTTTAATTGGAGAGATAGGACAGTGAGTTGGAAATCAGGAAGAGAGAGAGTGGGTATGACATGCGGGAATGGACCACAGTGGGATTTGAACCTGGGCCGCCCGTTTGGAGGACCATAGCCTCCATACATGGGGCATGCGCACCAACCACTGCGCCACCAGCGCCCCATTAGTTTGTTTTAGTAAGACATACATCATCATACTAAGAAATTAAGGAGTTTTGTAAAGTGGGAAACATATGTTTACAATGCCAAACCTAAAATCAGAATAAAACACATAATGAAGTACAATAAGGCTTTGAGTCTTGTACTTATCTCTCCTGAATGAAATCCAGCAGTCTTATTTTCAGCTCTCTTGTTGTCTGTAGGTTAGTTTTATTTCTTGTTAGGTAGATTAGAGGGAGGTGCAGAGAGCGACGACCCGTTTTATTAAAGTCTTCTTCCAACTTGGCCTCTTGTTTTAGATACTTTCTGATGAGAAGGAGTCTACATGAGTGGAAACACAGTTTAAAGGAAACGCTTACTTAAAGATGAGATAAGAACTTAAAAATCTGCCCACTCAGCATGAAGATATCTCTCACAGGAAGAAGAAGGGTTTACCTCAGATGTTTGATGATAAAAGTGAAGGGTCTTTGTACTTCACAGTGAGACGAGTTTCCCTCCGATTAAAGTTCAAAAGTCAGACGTATGTATCAGATGAAGGTCATGATTAACATCTTCCTATCAGGGTTTTAAGAAAGACATAACATAAATAAATAGTCACATTTCTCAGAAGATTTCACTCACAAATCTCTGATCCATCTTTCATTATTTTATTTTATTGTATTTAACCAGGAGGAGCATCCTGGCCAATCAGGCAGCAGCAGAGTCAACAAAGTTTCAGACAAACAAAGAGCAGCCGTATACAAAAATAACACAAAAAGCTACAAGAATACATTCAAAGACTTTTATTCATCAGTCTAAGAGCGTCTCTGTCGATGGTATTCAGAGGAGCTGTTTGTCAACAGGTAAGGCAGGCAGCTGATTGGGCCCCCAGGCCAGTAGGGGCCTCCAAGGGCTGACAAACTTTAAACCACAGCAGTGGCTCAAAATGTACAAATTTTGCAACGACAGTAGGATACCTCCCTAAAGGGGGCCCCATCTGACAGCACTCCCTCTCCTTTGCAAACCAACCTTTGTCAGAACAGGAAAAATGTGAGTTAAAAAAAAGACAGGAAGCGTCGGACATGATGATTGAAACGGGTTGGAGGGCCCCCAATTAACTTTTTCCTAGGGCCCCAACAGACTCTAGATTCGCCACTGATGGTATTCTATAGAAAACGAGGTCAATGTTTTTCCACGTTCCTGCTCTGACCTTCAACAGAACAAAAAGACGTTGTTTCTCTGAAACCAGAGGTCTGGTCTGCTTCTCTGTAGCCCTGTTCAGACTGCCGTTTCAAGCTGCGATATTAACGTCCCTGTGACGTTTTGTCTTCAACCTGAATGAGGCAGAGACATAATGGGGGGACCAAGTGAAACCCCTCTGAGCATGTGCTACATCATCATACAGGCGTACAGTCGATCATATTGTGTAATGTAAATAAGCAGACGCAAGACCCCGAGCAGATGTGACCACCCGAGCAGATCTGGTACCTAGCATTAGCATGCTAATGGCGCACATCCCTACATACCACCCAGTCTAAGTCATGAAATACTTCCCGTGTGTGGTAGATTTGACAGATTGGAGGTAAAAAACGAGGCTGCTTTATGTTACATTTATCAGGCCGTTAAAATCATTACAAAGGTATAATCTTTAAGTAGCAGTTCATAAGACATGTGTTGTAAAATCAGAAGCGACCTGCATACATTCAAATATATGAAATCTAAAACAGAGTGTGAACACAGTGCCTGTCGAGGTCATCGGCTTTTGTTGACGGTGCTGTACAGAGCAGCTGGATCCTCTTCAGGTTCTTTACTTCTGGTTCTGAAGGGGAAAATTGATCAACATGAAGTTTAACTAAAAGAATTGAGTTACCAACACGTCCATTACAGGATTAAAGTACAAACACATCAGAGGAAGATAAGAGCGAAAACAGCTTTATCTTATAGTGAGAGTTTAATGTTTTCTCAGCTGCTCACCTCATGGCGGTGCTGTTCCTGGTAAATTTGACGGCAGCGTACTCAGTGACGTCCTGCTGCTCCGTTCTCCTGGGGGCCGAGCTGGTCTGGTATTGCTGTACAGAGGCTCCTGGGTTTTAGAGAAGTGTATGCTGGCATACTGAAGGTCTTCCTGCTCCTCTGGTTGTCCCTGATTAGGTGAAAAAATCACTTTGAGCTGCATATTTACCATGTGGAGGTTTTTCATTTAAAAAGTGAATTCTAGCAGAGGACCGCAACCAAGATAGGAAAGGCCACAGCAACAGCACTTATGGTGATGATGTTATTAAAATACTTTGAGTGTTGGCACACAGTGTAGAAGGGGGGGATTTAACCATTTTTATTTTATGAACGCTAACAGTTAAACATAATTAGGGGCGTGGCTGAGTTGACTCCCAGGTGGGCGTGTTGTAGCCGTTTGTCAGGAGGCATAAGACCCGCCTCAGCTCCAGATTTTTGCTTGTTACTAGGTTCACTCAAAGACAGCATTTCCAATATGGCAACCACCATCAGTGAGCTTCAACATTTCACTTCAGAAACCAATGGGTGACATCACTGAGACGATGTCCATGTTTTTATACAGGAGGAAAATTCAAAGACAGCCTCAGGAATTTGTTTCTATCGGACAAATATGAAATGTTCTTTCTCATCAGCAAGTATAAAACATGCTTCATGATCAGTGTTGGCTGGTGCTTTGTACTCCAGGGTGGGCATAAGTTCTCTAAGATGAACCGCGATCTTAGTTCTTTAGCTTGATGCTAACACATGCCGGAAAATGCCAGTAAGCTAATTAGCATTGCGGTAATTTAACGATACGATTTATTTTACTCGTACTTACAGCATATGTTTCATAAACTCTGTGGAGACAAACTTTAAAAACTGCTGACTCATGCTAGTCTGGTCTGCTGCTCTGATCCATCTTAATATACATTCAATGCTCTGAACCAGTGACGCTGCATGACTCGCTCTTTAATTCTCAGTTCATGGGACATGTCCATCTGCTGCCCCCTTTTGGTGGTGTGTAATACGCTAATGAGCACATTTTTCCTGCGCTACCTGAGACTCCTATCTTTTGTCTTGAAGCGGAGTAAATATGTGCAAATTATAATGAGAGTCAATGGAGGCCCGGAGCGCTGGAGTCTAGCGCCCAAGTTAAGAGACATGTCTCCAATCAGTAACTTTGGACAGATTAAACATTTAACTCAATAACTACAAAACATTTCCTTTTAAAATTGTTCATGTATGTACAGCCTTTATTTAAAACAAATTCTTCTTCTGGGGAGTGATTGGCGGTGCCCTAGCGCTCTCTAATGACCAGCAGCTACTGTTCATGATGTCTGCAGAAACTAACGCAATGATTGTGTACTTGTAGGATGATCAGCTCTGAGCAGTCGGCTGAGTGAAATATTTGCTTGGTCAGATTATTGGACGGACCATATCGAGCACATTTACTCTTCTGGATGAACGACCTCTGAGTAACACAGCAGTCTGAATGAATCAGCGTTTATTTAGTACTAAGATATTAATCAGAACTATTCTCACCTGCTCCGTGTGTTCTTGTCTCTCTTCAGCCTCAGACGGTTCATTGGAAGCCCTCTTTTGTCTTGTGAGAAGAATTTAAAAGTATGATGAATTATTTTTTTAGATATGACTGACTTTTAATGATTCAGTGAAACGAAGCAGCTCACCTGATCCACACGAGGACAGAGAGGAACACGATAACCAGGAGAACAACCGTGATTGTTCCAGCAACAGCCACTGATTTCCCTCCCCTGGGAAATGGTGACCAAAACAAAGCGTTCAGATGTATCTATCATCAGTCTGTCCTAAGCAGAAACCTCCACTGTTGAAAAATGAAGCAGATGTTGAAGGGTAAAATCCTGCAGTTCTTCGAGTGTCCACTAGAGGCTGTCTGCAGGAGCACAGGAAGTCACATACACACCCATTCAAAGAAGACGGCCAAATTGTGAACATCGTCTTTAAAAAAACAAATATGTCTTTTTAGCTCATGTCTCAATCAGCACACACTGTACGGGGGTGAAGGCATAGCTGACCTGATTGACAAGCAGGCGCCATATAAGGGTTTCTCAAGAGGTTTAAACCTCAGCTCCAGCTCTCAGCCTGTTATGTTGACTGAAAGTTAGGGTGAGACAGCATTTCCAGCATGGAGACCGCCATCGATAGGACTCCAGCCCCCACAGGAACTGATTTATTACAGTTTTAGTCGTACTAACACAATTTATCGACTATCTCTAACAGCATGTGAACATACTGAATGTGTCCTGAACCTATCAAGTAGTTTTGGTGGTTGATCAAACAAGTGCGTGATTAACAGGTTGAAACGGTCAGTTTAGGTAGGTTGAGTCTGAATGATGACAAATGTGACGTTAAGTCGGCAAGTTGGGTTTCTGAATTGTTGTTCCAGTTGAGCAGACGTTCATCTGTATTTTCCAATTGGAAGCTAATTCTTCCGATGTGTCCGACACCACAAATGCAGAGCAGGAATGTGAAAGTTCAGCGAAACATTTGAGTGGCTAAAAAATGGAAAAAGTGGGAGTTGGGTTTTTAGGTCGGTAGATACACTTTTTAAATAATAGGTGTTTTACTCACATTTGACATTTATAGAGATGTTTGGATGTCCTTCTCCCCAGCGTGTTCTCAGCTTCACAGTAATACTCTCCAGAGGCGAGGAGTTGACTGAACTGAGGACGAGCTGTGCTCCTGCATTTGAGGGATTAAGGTTTAGAGGTCCATTCTCTTGTACCAGGTGTAATTAGCTGCTGGTTAGCATCACTGCTGCAGTTCAGAGTCACTGAACTGCCCTCCACTATCTCAGCAGAGGGACTCACTGACACAGAGGGAAGCTTTGGAGCATCTGGAGGAGGATAAAAGTTATTTTAAACATAGAATGAACATGTAAATCTTTCAGAGTTTATTTCAGTGGTCTAAAACAAAATATTAGAAATATAGCCTTTTTAAGTTTATTATTCCAGCTGTGAAGCATTAGTCCTCATGTCCTGTTAGAATCAATATCTTTTATTTGACATTCTCTCAGTCTAAAGCTGTAGAGATGTGAACTTCTCTATGAGTTAAAATCCTTTTGAAACAACATATCTTTGAAAGTGATAAATACTGATGATCCTCCTGCTACAGCCTGATCTCTAACCATCCATGGTCTCAGCAGAGAGACTCACTGACACAGAGGGAAGCTTTCATGCTTCAAAAAGAGACGTAGTTTAATAACTGACCTTTAAATGAAAACAGCATTTAGTGAAAAGGTTTCTGAAGATTTGAAAGTCATTAACAGACAGGATAATCAAGGTGTGAGCAAACTATGAAACTACAGAGAATCAGGTCAGTAAGGAAAGTCTCCAAATGTTGAATGTTGCTGTTTAAAGTGTTTCACTCACATTTCACATCAATAGAGATCCATTTATAGGTCGGCTTTCCCAGATGTTCTCAGCTTTACATGAAAACTCTCCAGAGTCAGAGACTTGATGGAGCTGAAGACGAGCTGAGCTTCTCTACTGAGAGGTTGATTGTTATTCTTCTTGTACCAAGTGTATTCAGATGCTGGGTTAGCATCACAGCTACAGGTCACAGTCACTCTACTTTCTCTCTGATTTCACCAGCAGGACTCACAGTCACTGAACAATCTGTTGGAGCATCTGAGGAGAGAAGAATAAAAATATAACTGAAGTGTCATTAGATCTGTGTTTGTATTTCAGTGTCCGCCCAGCTTTAGTAAACTGAAGGCCTTCTCTAAAGCCGGCTTGTTTTGTCTTTTCTGGTTCATTATAGGAACACGTGAAGCGTAAATGGTAATAAAGAGCTACTTCTTGAAATCATTAACATAATGTAACCCAGGTTATTCTGTAGTTTCATATTTACAGATGTTCCTTAAACGCAT